TTATTGACCACTGAACTTATATGACAAAAATTCGGTTCAACAAGAGTTTGAAACACTGGCACTGGAAAGGACGTATGTTTGATGATCCCAGAAATCCCACGGGACAGGAACTGCATTAAACTTCTGGATCTCTCGATCTTTTTGTTCTAAACTTATGCGAAAATATGTAAATGAACAACATTTCACAATAACTAGGTACATATAACTGAATCGATTTTGATAAGATTTGTTACACAGCATTGAAATTACCTTCGAAAGGACTTATTAAAAAATCCACAATTTGCCAGAAGTCATTATTATGCGCGGACAAAGTCGCGGGGAACAACTAGTCTATTGTATAAAATTACTGAATGATTGATTGACTGGTACTGCTAGGCAACGCACAGCCGCAACTACTGGACCTAGGAAGTTGAAACTTCGCATGTATGTTCCTGGGAGTATAGGGGAGCACTAAGAGAGGATTTCCCTTAATTCCCACGGGAACGGTAAAACCGGGAATTACTTGTGCGTACAAAGCCGCAAGCATAAGCTAGTTACATATAAACTTAATGAAGTTAAGGAAATTGTTATCAATTAATGTGGTTATCACCTTGGCACTACTTATAACCTGTTACGTCAATCTTACACTATTTATGTGCGTCGGCTGTCATTTCATTGCAGACAACCGCCAATAGCGCTATAGGAACGACCGCTGCATATTAATTTTTCGTTTTGTTTTTCAAAATGGGTACCAAAAGAGTTTTATTGACGGGATTCGGCCCTTTTCCTGGAGCTGAAACTAATGTTAGTTGGGAAGGTGTGAAAAGTTTGAACAAAGAAGAAATTGAGAACGAACTCGACATTAATTTGTTTCAAGAGCAAATAGAAGTGCGTTACGGCTTTGTCGATGGGTGTGTGCCTAAGCTTTGGGCCAAATACCAACCAGACGTGAGTACCTACCAACATCATACACCATCCTCACCAGCCCACTGCTGGGCTATTGACTTACCGCTGCTTTACAGAAGAGAAGTTTGCTATAGGTAATGTAATCTCTATGCAAGGCATTGGCAGGCAGATTCTAAATCGTAGTTTAAAGGGTTCAGGTTTACCAGCAGTCTGGTAAATCTGAACCTTTTATTATTGAACCATTTACTGCCCGATCTCTGTTAAATTAATAGGTAACTCCTTAGTCGGCTTTTATGATATATACGCGCAAAGTATGGTAATGGTAACAAAATTCTATTCTGCCATCACGACGTCACAAGTGAACATGCGTACAATGGGTACCTATGTACCTACTGATGTTAATATTTTTTATTATTTTCAGCTACAGTTAATTTTGTTTATATTTTTAGTTAACTATCCACGTTGGTGTAAAGCCTGGTATTACGACTTTAGCCCTAGAATCTCAAGCTTCAAGGGAAGGTTACGATCGCGTTGACACCGCTTTCTCTTGCCCCGTGGAGCAAAAGCACTCGTGTGATGGACCAGAAGTCATCAGAACTGAGTTGTCTCTGAAAGAGTTAGAAGAACAGTTTAATAAAAGCTCCCCGGTTGAAGAACTTAAGGCTGAAGTATCTATCGACGCTGGCAAGTGAGTAATACTATAAATATCTGATTTTACTAATTTTTACTACTAGCTTAGATAAATGTCCAGGCAGTCCAGGTGATTTATCCGCTATTTATTAGACCTCTTTATCGAAATTGAAATCTGTGTAGGTATGAGCATAAGAATGGATGACCGCCAGTGGTCTCGAACGGATTCTAGACCTCTCACCCAAATCAAAGAGAGACGAGACTCCACCGATTAGGTGACGGAACAATTGAAGTCTTGAAGAATTCTAAAATAGTTGATAGTAATGATCTAAGTAGGTACAATCTGTCTAGATTAAAAATAGAAGACTACTGGTCTTACTTAAAAATAGAGATACGATGGCGTGTGTCGTGTAAATCTGGTAATCTTAGAACATTTCGTATTCCGAAAATCTTTTTTATTATATTATCGTAATGTAAAAAAATATTTCTCTGTTTACCGGTTAGTTTGGTTTTAACTCGTCGATTACCGGTTTTGTAGACACAATTATAGAACAATAGGTTGCGGTCACCGGTGACCGCTTGGTGTTTGACAGTTTAATTACCATGTAGATATTTATATAACAATTTGTTACAGGTATGTCTGCGAGTACACATATTACACTTCTCTTGTTCATGGCCCACACTGCCCACAGAGAACTTTATTCATTCATATTCCGGTAAACAGTTGTCCTAAGCAAATTGCTCTATGTCTTGAGCACATGGTGAGGATCTGCCTTCAACAACTGAAACGTTCTTCATAGTTTACGGCTTCAGCAGTACTATCGTGTTGCTAATAAATGAGTGTCGGCGTATCTTACAATAATGATTGAGAAAATAAGGTGTAACAAATAATAATTAATTTGTATTACTTATGTAGGTAATTGAATTTGCAAAAGGTTTACAGCTGAGGCATCCTTTTTTGACCGACTTCCTGAATAGAACGAGGTTTTCAGTTCGGCCGTTACGTCTATATATTTTTGGTGCTTTTTTGACATCATAATATACATAGAACAAAGAACAATAACCTTGCACGAGCTGTGTACATACTTATTATAAGTAATCTTCTTTATGTAGTGTGCATAAATAAATAAAATAATAAATAAAAAAACACCTTTCTCTTTATAAGTGATGAATGTTGTTGTTGTGTTAAAATTTATTGCAATTTACAGCTCGATGTTGACGACAAAATATATACCTATCCACTCTGACGTCCGCTTTGAGTTTGCAACACGTCTCTAACGCCCATGCAACGCGGTCGCTAACGCGTCGCCGACGTCTCCGACTTAAACGCTATTTTCTACCAATCTACAACTGTTATACCAAATAAAAAACTACCAGTATAAAGCTGACATTATAAGGAATACAAATTTATAAAGATTAAATAGTAATTCTGATCGTAAATATTATAAATAACCGTTTATCTCTACAATAATGGAAGCGTTTTACCTACCAATAAAACGCATATTAATTTACTTACCTTATTCGAAGCTTATTTAATTGAGATAGGCCT